TGTGACATTTCAGTGACTCCTAGTGCACTAGACGTGCTTGACATTTCATTTCTATTTCAATCAAGGTGTTCTTGAAGTAGCCGTAAATAGTGCCTTAGGCATCTCAAGAATATGAAGGGATCCTCTTTAAGTTTCATAAAACAGAGAGATGAAATCGCTGGTGACTCTTCAGATGAAATTGTGAAGCTCATTTTCCGGCAACCAAGGCCAGGCCAACAGCCGCATTGATGTTACCTTCGATCGGTTCAGAGATGTTTCCATTAAAGTTGGAGCGAGGGTCAAACATACACAGAAGTCGGGGCCAGTTTGGCGTCTGAACGAAGACAGAGAAGTACCACTCCCGAACAAATGGCCGGACTCTCTTGCATCAACTGAAGACAAGACAGCTTACTCAGTCCCTGTCAAATGCTCTCACTGCCACGGCGCCCCTCAGGAAGTGGCTGTTGTTGGTGGAGGTTTTGCTTCTGAAACATAAATCCAGAGTCCAGACCCTGTTATGGCTAGAAAGCAATCATGAGGAGGCATATCCTAGATTGATTCTACACTGCCTTCAAACAGATGCAACACTGAGGTCGGAGATCGTGACACAGATATCTTGTTGGTCGCTAAAATGTTTTGGATGAAAGAAAGAAGAAACCGAAGTATGTTCCTGTGCGTGACACAAGGAGGGAACTTCGACTTGCCGATCATGCTTATGAGATACTAGCTGCATTTCACAAGATGCGACACGGTTACTCTTTTCTCGGCCACTCAAAGAAAACAGAGAGGGATAGCTTCCTTGAACCCAAAGATCTTGACAAGTTTCCGATGCCCTCAAAACAGGTCACAGAAGCTTCTAAAAGTACCTTTGTCACATCTACTCAGTGCCATGGGAGGACTGTAATCAAGCCCGGGTCATTTTTTCCAGCAAATGTCATGCAACAGGGTCCTCCCTCCATCTACTGATGATGCGAAATTCCACATAGGACGAGCAAACTACCAAAGTTTCTCTTGGAGAGAAGCTCATCACCGGATTCCATCCCTGTCCCCGCCTACAGAATGTAGATGGAGACTCGTGGATGGTAAATGCTCACTAATTCTGACAGCGTTGCCTCCAGTTCCACAGGGATGCAGAGAGATTGTGCAATCAGTTGCACAGAAGGTTGCAGTACCAATAGTTGCTCTTATCGGAAGTGGGGTCCCAGTTGTGCACTGATGCCTGGAAGTGCAATGCTTGCTGACACAGGGCGAAGTAAAGTAGAGAGTAGCAGGGATGGGGTGGGGTTGGGTGAAGGGTGTCGCGTCACGGGAACGAGCTCTTTTCGAAGACCCTGATTAGTCTGACGCACTGCAGTAGGATCTAAAAGAGGAACAAGAATGATTGACTGTTAGAACCACTGTTTGTAGCAGAAGTTTACTTTCAGCTGAATTAGGAGACCAATTAGTCAAATTGTTAAATTCAACATTGAGAATATTCTTGCTTGTGAAAACCTGTGAAGCCCTGCTATACAAAATGTTGTTCAATAAGTTTTATATTTGGACAGAGGATGTCAAATAAAAAGAAAAAAAATGGTTTCCACTCATTGACCTTAATCGGTTCGACAGACGACAGATTCATGTTCAGCGTGCGAAACTACCTGTAGAATGATGGTTAGCCTGATTGTCCCCAAAAATGTATCTTGAGTTCACATTTCCCAGAAATTTTACCAGTCGAATGTAAAATAGCCTTTATAGTCTTAATGTTAGCGTTCTGGTTGGACTAACTCAAAATATGAATAATTGATAATTTCGTCATGTACATATATATTTCTCCTATTGGAATTTATCCCATAACGCTTAATTATCTAATCAATGAAAAGTGTTTAGATGACCAGGCATGATACTTAAACTAATTCTAAAACGTTTCGGAATCCGACACGACCTATGTTTCGGTGGCTGACTCGAGCTCACTCGTGGCTGACTCCGACCACCTGGCCCTCAGTCAGCCACTCCGCCATATTGTACAGCTCGAGTTTTGCACGTCTCTGCCTGTGGTCACTCCGCCAAGTATTTTGTTTCGTTTGTATTCTAAACGTCATCGGGTGTTTATGATAGGACCAGGATTTTTTTTTTTTTTTTTTATAATATAATCAGTGTATGATCAATGTACATAAAAGACATATTGAATGTAGTTATGTCCATGCTTGTGTTTCACTTTACACGGACATAATTTTGAATTCGCTATGGGTACTAGATAATACCCTAGACTTTAAATGTGCCATAACAGCTTTTATTATCACAGTGGATTATAACCGTTTCTTTTCACGGTCTGCTTCTCCGCATGTTCCTTTTTCACATATTCATCTCTTGCTATTTATTTATTTAATTATTTTATTTATTGATTTTACATATTCGTCGTTCTGCATTTTCTTTCCACAACAATTTGTGTTCCGGAAATGGGAAAATTAGCTGGAGTTTCCCTCTTTTTCAGGATGGACTCCCCTGCACTCCGCTCCTTCGATGGTCACACGCCGCGGTGGCTGAGCTCCTGGCCGCCAAAGGAGCGGACCTGGGAGCGAAGGACGACCGCGGTAAGGCAATTTCAGAGACGACGGACGCAGTTGGTCCGGGTTTCTTTTTTTCTTTCATCTATCTTTTATTTTCCAAACACCAGTCTTTGACGACATTGTGATGTTAGCCTGAAGCAGCAGAATTTTCTGGCATTATTTATCAGATATTATCATTGCCGTAATTAGGCCTGTTTTTATTATATATATTAATATATAACACACGCACGCACACGTACACACAGACACACACGCATATACACACACACCCACTCGTACAAGCACAAACACACACATACACACAAGCGCGCAAATGCACGCACACACACACGCGCGCACGCACGCACACACAACACACGCGCGTGCGCACGGACACATACACACACGCACACACACATGCATACACACACACACACACTCACACACACACACACACACATATAAATATCACGTAGGATAGCTGTACGACGGAGGTAGGACGATGAGAGAAAGGAGTGGGAGAGGGATAATGCGCTTAGAAGCAGAGGGGAAAAGAGACGAAGAAAAGAAAGGGGGGAAGAGGAGGAGGAGAAGGGAGAGGGAAAGTGAAGGAGAGGGAGAGAAGGGCAGGGGGTTGGGGGCTAAGTCATAATAGAGGATATTCACGTTTTCGTTTTTCTTTTTCTTTTGATAACCTTATCACGGATGGCTGTGCAGGAGAGCGGCTCTGGCCAAATGATCATTTACTGGTGTCATTATATCCTAACAAACAACATTGTATAATCAACATTAGCTTTATTTTGATCATAATTTTGGTGGTTATTATCATTATTATATTTCCAATCGTGATGTCATTATATTTTTATTATTATTATTATATTATTATTATTTATATTATTATTATTATTATTATTATTATCATTATCATTTTTATCATGACCACCATTTGAGTGCGTAGCCGTCCAAGGGAGTTCTCGGACCAATTCCCAGAAAATACGTTTATTAAATATTTGCTAATTTCAAATTTCATCTACAACATAAGCAACGGTAACCTCATATCAATGCACAATACCTCGTGAATGTAGTGCATTGACGTGAACATAGCGAGAGTTATGTTATAGATGAAAGTTTAAATGAACAAAACTTTTACTGAAAGTATTGAAGTGTAACAGGTGTGAGAACACTTATGGGTGCGTTGATCTTTATGTATGTTGTGAGTAGTTTTACAACTATTGATGCTATTACAACTGTTATTATTATTATTATTATTATTATTATTATTATTTATTATTTCGCTGTCTTTTCTCTCCCTCCTCTCTTCGGGAGGGGGGGGGGAGGCCTGGCACGTCTCTGGATCAGACGCTCCAGTTTCCCGCCTTTGGTGTGTTGCCAGTGCATGATTTTCTTTTATTTTTCTCAGACAAAGCGGAATATGAGATCCTTACTTCATACATATTCGAAGATGGAAAGCGAATAGATCTGAAAATAATAAACTTATGAGCGTCACTGCGTAAAACAAAGCCGAACACGAATAATCTGTAGAGGCACATGAAAGGACAGACACTAATTTTCTGGAAAGAAGTCAGTTACAATATATTTACTGAACGAGTCTGTACATTGCTGGACATGACCGAGACAGCGTCGGGTCATGTCCAGGTGGGTCGTTTCTGGTTGACAGGTTTCTGCGTTTGCGGGGGAGCAGGAAGGTGGGGGGAGGGGGATGGTGGGGGGAGGGGATGGTGGGATTCTTGGCGTCGAGGGTGGCAGGGTAGAGGAGGGCGGACTGAGGACTGGGGTAGCGAACAAAATGGAGTAATTAGAGAATTATCAGCCGTGTTACATGTTCATTTTGTGGGACGGATATTAACCTACACTGATAGAGTAAGTACTGGTAAATCAAGAGCTTATATTACTGTGTTTTAGCACATTACACATGTTCAATACGTGCTGAACTACCCCTCCCCCTCCCACCCTCCTCCACGGTATGGCTGCGCGCAGTGACAGACAGACGAGGAGAGATCTTGGCAGGAATGACTGCCACACCTTCAGCATCATCACTTATATGACTGTAACCATAGAATACACTGGCTCAATAGTTATCTTATATGATTGGAGTCTATACTGCAACACAGCCCGGCCAAGTGCAACTTGGGATGGTGGTGATATATGTATATATATATATATATATATATATATATATATATATATTATATATATATATATATATATATATATGTACGTATACATATACATATTTACATGTGTGTGTACATATGTGCGTGTATATATATAGACATAAATAAAGATAGACTCGTTATAAGAGTGCAGTTTCAACGTTTCCACTACTCGATTTGTTGTATTTTTATGAAAGACTGTGATCATTTTAGTAATCTCCTTTATAATCGCCTTAATCATCAGAGCTGTAGTTATAATTCTTGCTTCGCTTTTGGCAAAGAGAGAGAGAAAAAAACAAACAAACTCCCCTTCCGAATGGGGTTTGATCCTAAAGGGTCCGCTCGACTTAAATTTTCTCTACGATCTTTTTTTCTATTGCCGTCATTTTTCAAATTTTCGATGTTGAGATTTCGCTCCTATGCTTTTATCTATAATTATCAATTTTTCAAACGTTTCAGCATGAGCTTTTACGGATTGCTTTTATCATTATCCTCCTTGAAGGTCTATAGCACGAAAAACCAAGGAGCATCAGAATGAGCTTATTGAAGTTACAGTCAAAATGGCATTTCATTTGCACTCAGAAAGTGCTCCTTTAGGAGCTAACTTCATTAAGTAAAAATTGAATTATTGCATTCGATTTCGACCTGACCTTTGGTGCTAACTCACCTTTGCTTGTTTGGTTAGAGCCAAAGTAGAAGCTTATCACTGCTAATGATAGAAATGGAGTGTGATACCTCTAACCAAGGGAGCAGGTGGATCAAGGAGCTGCTAACTTCTCATTTGGGCGGTTAAACCCCGTTTGTCCTTGTTATCATTGTGTGATAATCTCATTACATTTTCATTGTAAAACTAAGGGTAAACAATCCTTTAAAAGCAGTGCATTGTAACTAAAATATACCTATAAATTACAGCAATCTCCTTTGCAGCTTCAGTGCAATGCTCCAATATAGAAGCTATAGAGGTAAATTGCAATGATTACTAATAATTACCCAGAGTGAAAAATAATATATTTTTTGTACTATCATTTGGAACACCTGTAAGCTTTCAGATCAAGTTATTATAATAGAATAAATCCCCTGTCTTCCATAATATTCAGATCATCCTATATCTCCTACTCTCTGATAAAAATCCTAAATTAAGATCCCCAGGTAAGCTATATTAAACTAAACGCATCGTATTACAAACCGTCAATTCAGTTGTCAGAGAATATGATAGGAAAAAATATATATATTGATAGCAGACATAAAAACAACTTCTGAATTTGTATCTTTAGAATGAAAACAGCAAAAGAGAAGTTCCATTTAAAGCCAATTTCTTAAATTTATAGATATTCCTGTCATTGTTATTCGAATGTCCTGACCTTCTTTTACACTATGATTACAGCTCCCAGCACATACCAGTAAAAGAGCTATGAATAATTCATTGTTGATCAATGAAAAGGGCAATATCAGGACACCCTAATGACGAAATTCTCATTACTACTCTTAGTTGACATGAAGTTGATAAGCAATAATATTTTTTTAAAGTCGTATCCAAAATTTACACCAAGCCCGGCTGTAAATATAATCGTGATAAAAGTAATAACACTATCCGAGATAAACGTCCTTGTAAAGCTGGGCTAAATCGAATGAATAAATAAACATCTGCTGTTACTAATGTAACGAATGTACTAAAGCAGATACCGTAGTAGGGGCTATTACAGCTGCAGGCAACCAGGCAGAAAAAAAGGTACTTGAGTACTTTTGTTAACAGCAGCTAAAACTACCAAACCACAGCAATCCACCATAATCCATTTAGGTATATTTTCCACAAAAATAAAGAATTTGATTCTCCACAACTTAAAAGTTAAAAGATTGCAAACAAGATAGCTACATAATCTCCCCAATTTGAGACAGCTGTTAACATCCCAGGATTATCTGATTTTTCATTTTGATAATAGATAACCAGGCCGCAGGATACTAATCCTAAACCATCTCAGCCAAAAAGAATACTAATCAAATTAGGGATAATAATTATAAACACTATAGTTATTACAAAAGTTAACACTAAATACATAAGCCGATTTATAATTCTATCCCGTATATTCATTCCCTCTGAAATATAATACTAAAGAAGATATTGATATTACAAACCCCAAAATATGAAAGATATTCAAGGCAAGGTAATGTTATTATAATAGATTTAGAGTTTAATCTTAGTAATTCTCATTCAATAAATCAAGCTTGACCTCTTCTTAAACATCATAAAAAACTAGGCAAATTAAAGAACCTCCGAGTAAAAATAATATTCTTGATATATTGATAGTATTCATAAAGGTTTAAAATGAGTAATACTAAAACTCCGGTGCTGCAAACCGACGTTTAATTTAAGCTATTTATACTTTTATGTTATACATAATAGTTCCTTTTAAAATCAGAATATTTAGAGGCAGTAAGAGTAATAGTAAGAGGAAATACTCCTGCACCGTACCAGAACACGAAAACAAAGCTATGTAATATTCCCCATGTTCCCTTAAAGAAAATATATGTTATTATCGGCTCTAAAAAGACAATGATGAAATATATGATATTCTTACTTTTCTCCAAGATACTACTCTAATCATTCAGCTCATTTCACCTAAAAGATTTAAAGTAGGTGCTGCTATAGTATCCGCACTCAAAAGGAACTACCATAAAGCTACTCGAGGTATGAAATTTATCTGTCTCTTTACGATTCATAATATTCATCCTCCTACTCATTCGTGAACCATGTTAGCAAAAGAAACAAACCGGAGAACACAATCCGTGCCCAATCATTACTACCCTTCACTCCTAATCAACCAAATACTACCAATCCAGATGACACTAATCCTATTTGGCCACGGAAGAATAAGCAGTTAAAGCTTTTATATCAACTCGCCGTAAACACATTAATCCCACTACTACTACTCCTACTAATCTAATTCTCACTCGCAGTCAAGCTAAATTTTTATTGGCTTGTCCGAACAAAGGTAATACTGCAATCAAGCCATGTCCCCATAGTTTGAATATATCACCGGCTTGCATTGTTGATCCCGCAATGGGTGCTCTACATGTGCTTTTGGTAGTCATATGTGAGGTAAAAATATAGGCAATTTTACAATAGAAGCAAAGACTGTTACTACACATCAAATACAAGAAATAAATCTTGTTCTCTTCATATTTTCCACTAATGAAGTTACTCTTCCATTATGTAGTCTGATTAAAGATACCAACAAAGGAGAAGAAGCAAATAAAGTGAATAATAATATATAGACCCTTGCCTGCTGATAACCTCACCCCAAGATAAGGATAAAAGTAGGAATTAAAGAACTCAAATCTAATAAAGAATAACAAGTAATCATTAACTGAAAAGTTATAATTAAAAACAATAAAAGAAAATTATTAACAAAAAAAAGGAAGAGTAATCCTCTTCCTTCAATACTTTTTGGCTAGAACAGACCGCAAGACGTTATTCAAAATCTCAATAAAATTAAAATTTATTCTAATGAATCAACATTAAAGCACAACTCTACAATAGTGGCTAAAATCGTGATGACAATACATTATCAAAATGAAAGAGAGTAAATAAAGACCTTTGCAAAGCTCACCATGAATTAACCGAGTGTATCAATATAATATAAGCCACAAAAATTTTATAATATTAAAATTATAGTATTCTAAATCTAACACAGACATTAACATGTGTCCTCTCCACTGACGCCAAAAGAGCCAGCCCTAACGCCCCTTCACAAGCAGACAGGGTGCAGTCTTTTCCTGTAATTCAAAAGATTCTTAATATAATATATTTTAAACTCGATAAAGTGTTAAGCAAATGTTTACACTTAGAAACAAATACCCATAAACCACAGTTAACTCTTACCATGGGGACAATATAAAGAAAATTCCAAAAAAAAAAAAAAAAAAAAAGGCAAACATTTCCCACTTCTAGTGTGTGGTTGACCCTTTAGCCACCAGGGGGGGGGGGCTGTCTCACCAACGCAGCCATCCATTAATGACGTGACAAAGCTTGTCGATGGAGCTGATGTCGGGGAACAGTTCCTAAGACAGCCTGCATCGACAATGAATTTTCCAATCTCAGAGTACGTAACATAGGCCTACACAGTCAACTATTTTGGAATTTCCAAATCCCTTTGACGAATGTTTGGTCGATTGGATCGGATTCCTTGCGCCTTTTCACCTCCCAAAGGAATTAGATACGACGTAAACCCCACTCAGCTTTTCAAGAGTGCAATGGAAAATAGGTTATAACAACGGTTTGTTTTCATGTTTTTTTTTTTTTTACATTTATTCCACGTTCATTGTTCTGCATTTTCTTTCCCTAATGATTTGTCCTCCGGAAATGGGGAACATTAAGCCAAGTTTCCCTCTTTTTCAGGATGCACTCCATTGTACGTAGCGTCCCAAAATGGTCACGTCGCTGTCGTTGAGTCACTGGTTGCCAAAGGAGCTGACCTCAACGCGAAGCGAATAAATGGTAAGTCATTGAGGAGATTGACGCAGCTATTCGTTGTTTCTTTTCTTTTTTATTAGCATTATTGTGTGATTTTACTGTTTTTTTTTTTTTTTTTTCCTCATGAGGTAAAAGGTGTGCATAGCATTGTTGATTCATCATTTTTATTGTGAAGGTGAGAATGATCAATTTTGTCATTCTCATCTCTTTGTTTCTCTTGTTTTTTGTTTGCAATTCGTTATGAAAGTTTGCAAAAATATATTTGTATCATTCGCTTTACATTTTTAATTCACAGAATTGAGGTGATAATAATGAGTTACAGGAAATACTACTAAATTAGCATAAGACAGAAGTAGGATAAGGAGGAATATAGATCAAGGAGAACGAGAGAGGATATCATTATCATAATTATGGTAATTACTTGCAGTTGCTTAATTGAAATTCCAACTGTTACCATAATTACTGCTATAATTATCTCCTATTATTATTCTCATCACCATCTCCTTATCATCATAGTTATCAGTAGCGCAATATTCCTTTAGTTCGCTAAGTATTTAGAGGGAATATCTAATATCTCCAGTATTGTCATTATATTCTTAAAGAACTTCCCTTATTCTCATACTTTAACCGATATGCACAGTGTATTTTTTAAGTACTAAAAGGAAGAAAGAAAGACGGCATTTATCTTTGCGTTAGTGTCTATGTTTAGAAATATTTTCTTCTGTTCCCTTCTCGCATCTTAGCGTTAATCACTCTTTTCCTCCCTCACTTCCCTTTTCCCTCCGCCCTCGTCTCCCCTTTCCCTGTTCCTCGCACTCTCCTCAACTTTCCCTTTTTCGCACACCTTCTCTGCTTCCTCCCCCCCCCCCCCACCCTCCCCCTCGATCCACCTTGCCTTCAACCGCTTCCACCGCACTCCTGCTGAATCATTATCATTATTGTCACTATTACTCTATTTTGATGTCATTATCATGATCATCTTCATCAAGCGCGTTTTCATCCTCGTAGTATTTCATAATAGTGATGTGTGATGGTATATATATATCTTTATCATATTAATTTATAACATTGTTGGTATTTCATTAGTGATATCATAATAATAATAAAATAATAAAAACTGTAGCCACAAAATGAATAAGCATAGCCTATTAACGTTTTTGTTTCTTTTAAACATTCTATCAAATTTTTTACCGGAGTCATTGCTGCTACCATAATTAATTTACGGAAATGGTAAAATAGCTATTACACTCGTCTTATCTCGTCTCCCTTCACACCGTCCTCCCCCTTCCCTTCTCCTCACATCGAACTGAAACTTCATTTCACTTCAACCCCCCCCCCCTCTCCACCATGCCCTCACCCGACCCCATCATGCTGCTGCTGAGCCCTTTATGATTGGCATTATTGTTGACATATTTATTATGTTCATTATCATTATCTCAATTACTCTTACTTTAAATAGTAATCATAATAATCAGCGTGATACAGTTTTGAAACTTTGGCAAGTTTCACGAGATCTTTATCAATTTTCCCTTTTCGAAAATAAATATATATCTCGTCAGTGCAAAAATAATAAACCTTATAATAATTATATCTAATGTTAATGATAATGATTGTTATAATGATAATGATAGCAGCAACATTTGAAACAATAATAGCGACATAAATAATAAAAAATAATAATAATAATAATAATAATAATAATAATAATAATAATAATAATAATAATAATAACTGTGATAACATGAACAACTTTAGTGGGAATCATAATAATAATCAAAAGAAGAATATAACAGTCACCATGATTATAATAGATAATATAATAGTGATAAGATAATGAAATGAACGAGACGCAGAATAAGTGTAGGAATATTAAATAAGAATATGTGCTGTGCAGTGCACTTGTAACGTGCTGGGCTTGCAATCTTGCTGACCTGCGTTCGATGCTGCGCACTACCAGTGAATGGTAACCCCGGCCATTCCTTGCACACAGGGTAATGGTAATGGTGAGAATAATAATGAAAAGGATGATGTTCATAGTGATAGTAGTCATAATGAAAATGATAATGTAAGCTTTTGTGAAAGAGGAACCTAATTAGGGCCACCCGTGAGGCGGGAGACTTCAGGCTCAGGGGCCGAGGGAAATGAGGGGCCCGCTCGTTCCCCGAAGAGGGGCTGAGGGGACCAAGGGAAATGAGGTTCCCGAACAAGGGCTGAGGGGACCAAGGGAAATGAGGGGCCCGCTCGTTCCCCGAACAGGGGCTGAGGGGACCAAGGGAAATGGGGCCGCTCGAGGGGCTGAGGGGACCAAGGGAAATGAGGGGCCCGCTCGTTCCCCGAAAGATGAGGGACCAAGGGAAATGAGGGGCCCGCTCGTTCCCCGAACAGGGGCTGAGGGGACCAAGCTGAGGGCTCGGAACCAACACGACCTCGCAAGCAAAACTGTCCCCGGAGATGTAGGTCTACCAGGAGCGTGACCAATATGAAGATGAAACATGAAATAAAAAAAAAAATCCTAAAAGGAACAAACATAAGGTGCAGAAGGCACCAAAATAAACGTAAATGGAAGTGCCAGAAGGGCTTAAGAATGACTAAAAATACGCCAGAAGGGCCCAGAAACAGTAAAACCTGCCAGAATGGCTTAAGAATTACTTTTGAAAATATGACCGAAGGGCATAAAAAAAACTGACAATACGTAAATACGTAAAATAAAAAAGAAGAGAAAAGAAAAGAGGTAGAGGTAAGGAGACATGAAAAAGTAAATAAAAATGTGATAAAAAGTGAGACGTAAAAAAAAAAAAAAAAATGGAGTAAAAGAGGAGTAAAAAGAGTAAAACGTGAATAAAAGAAGCGAGTGAAAGGACAAGAGAAAGACAAGCCAAATACGGAGTAAGTAAAAAGTAGAGGCAAAAAGAGCATACACGGATCAAAGTAAAATATAAAGTAAAAAATAAAGTCGCACGTCCAGCATGAATACACTTAGGCAAGTAAGAGGAGCAGTGCAACCTTGTTTCAGCGTCCACGGTGTGAATCCAGTCAGGTATTCCAAAGGGTGAAGTCAGAGCACAGTCAAAGAATCCACTTCGTTTATTGTATAGAAACAAGGGGGTTAACTTAGTTCGTACGGACGAAGGCATAGCGGATAAAAACAATAAAATAATAAATAGGAAAACATCATAATAAAAGAAAATTTACATAGGATAAAAAATAGGTAAAAGCAATAAACCATTGGAAATCAATATGAAAATTATAATTGGTATAGAAAATACGCAAAAGAAAATGTACATAAAATAAAACATTAAATGAAAAATAATTTAAAAAAATCGTATTTAGCATAAAAATACGATAAAACACTCTTCTGCGATTCAATAATGAAAATACTAAAATCAGTAGTTTTCTTTTGAGGTAAAAGAGAGATTAGAATAATTAACAAGTAAAAAGAAACCACTGAAAAGTAAAAGAGATAAGGTTAAAGATAGAAGGTAAGGCAAACGGGGAAAAGGAATGGGAAGGGAGGAATGAGCGTAGTAAAAGAGGGAAGCGAAGAAAGGGAGGAGCAAGAAGAGGGTGCGAATAAGAAGGGTACGAGGGAAAAGCGGCAGGATAGGAATAGGATAGAGGCAGGATAGGTTGGAGATAAAGATAAAAGGCAGAACAAGCAGGAGAAAGAAGTAGAAGAGGGGAGTGAAAAAACCAGGGGACAAGAGGGTGTGAATAAGAGGAGAGGGATATGAGAATAGGGGAAAGGAGGGTCGATAGGTAATGGGTAACCTCTTGTGTTGGTGTGGGGGGGGGGGGGAGATAATCTTACAATAAACAGACGCCGATGATGATAATATCGATAGTAATGGTTATAATATTATTCAGGCTACTAATAGCGATAATGATAATAGTTAAAGTGAAATTATGACACCGAAAATGAAATAAACGACAACAGCTGAAAAGGAACTGCCCTCACTTTCTCACTGCTTTAGTTTCTTGCTGTTTATCCTTTTGTTCCTTTCTACTAGCTATTATTTCTCTTGTTCCCCACATCGGTCTCCTTTATTCCTTTAATCTCGCTCTCCCCTTCTTTCTCCCTTTCTCTTTCTTTTAGCATGCCCCTCCCTTATTCCCCAACCTTCTTTCACTTTCACTCTCATTCCCTCACTCTGGTGACTGGACAAGTGGACAAGACTTAGAAGCTAATAACTGTCGTTCGTTTTCTAACAGCTGACTCGATTTCTCACTTTCACCTTCATCTGATATCTTTATCTCGTTCTTTCCCTCTTGTTCTTCTCTTCCTTTATCTTCCCCCCCTTCCTTTCTGTTGCTTCTTCCGTCGACCTCATCCTTTCCACCCTTCCACTTTTCTTAATGCTGAATCGTTATCATTTCCTCACTGTTGCTGTGAGGAAATGATACAGATTTTAGGGAAAAACAGTCTATTCCTTTACACTGCATTAAATCTTATCTTTCCGCCTCCCACACTGCCTGCCCCCTCTACCCTTGTCCTCCTACCCCATTCCCCTCACCTTCCTCTCCCTGACATTCCTCCTTCCCTGCCCTTGGGTCGTCGGCCTTTTCGCACTATGGACGAAGGGGTAAAATTGCAACGAAAGGAGAGCAAGCAGAAAGCACCTGCCGAATAGCAATAGAAAGCGAGCCAGAGAGCCTGTCTCAAGACAAAGTCATCGAGACCGAGTGTGCATAGTGGTCAGTTACACGAAGTGAAAGCATGATGCTGAATGCTCTCACATAATCATGACTGCGTTTGAGATACATCATTACGAGCTCAAGTTTATGACGTTTTTAAGTACTGTTAATTCTTGTAATGGAGTGATAATCAACAACATTTACACATCCCAAAGAATGCATATGTAGACGAAACATTACTTATGAGAAAGATAATCTATGCAATCATGTCATATTTACTAAAGATATATCACCGAGGATAAAGGGAGGACAAGAAATTAAATGCGTTTCCTCCAGGAAACTTCAGCGCAGCTCATCCGAGTCCTGAGTCCATAGACACTTGAAATGGGCTC